TGCTGCTGTCTGGGTCTTGACTGTCCCTCAGAGGTCCATGTGTGGAAGGCTGGGTCTCTAGAGTAACATTACTGGGAGGCTATGGGACCTTTTGGAGATGAGGCCTTGTGAGAGGATTCAGGACATCTGGTATATACCCTTGAAAGGGATTGAGGGCCCTGGCTCCTTTTTCCTTCTGACTGTGAGGTGAGTGGTTTTATTCCAATATGAGCTCCACCATGACCTGCTATCTCACTGTAGGCCCAAAGCAAGGAGCCCAACTGATTACTGACTAGAACCTCTGAAACGGTGAGCTAAAGTCAACCTTTTCTCTTTTTAAGTTGACAATTGAGCATTTATTATATTGATGGAAAGCACTTTTGAAGGAAACTCAGTCAAGGAGAGCCCCTTAGTGAAAGTTGATGCAGTTCAAAAAGAGTTTCTTCCTCCACCCTAACCTCTCTCTCATTTCCATGTGGCTCAGTTTACTTGGTTTCTGTTTTGTTCACTCCTCACCACCAATCAGGTGTAACTCTATTCTTTCTCCTAGGCCAGGGATCGCCTAGGTTTTTTGATTGCACAACTTTTTATCAGTTAAACAAGTGTGAAAACAAAACAACTTTTTCATCATATGGAAAAAAAAAAACTTGGAGAATTACCTGTGAGGAAGACTATGGTGGATCCATACTGTCATAAGTTCCTTCTCTCTTTGTTCTTCTATTCTCAACATGACAAGTGACCTCAGGAGCTACAACTATCATCTGGGTCCAAGAAGGAATAAAAGGATGGACAAGGTCAAAAGGGTGACCATAGGAGTAATTTTAAAATTTCTATAGCCACATTAAAAAATGTGAAAAGAAACAGGTAAGGTTAGTTTTAACAGTATATATTATCCAACCTGATACAAGGTAAGCACTCTATACCACTAAGCCACATCCCCAGCCCTGTAGTAATTCTTTTGATTTCCATTATATATTTTTCACTTTCCATATATGTTGATTCAGACTAGTCACATATAAGTGCTCAATAGCTACTAGTGATAAATGGCTACCGTACGGGTTAACACAGGCCCAGATCTAACCTCATATACCTACATCCTGAGGTAGGGACATGGATCTTGTGACTTCCTAAACCCAAGGTCAATTTCCTAAATTCTACATCCCAAATAGTCCCTTTAGGGATTAAGTTATTTTTTCCATTGTCATTTAAGAT